CTTCAAGAATACGGTAATAACATGGTAATACCATACTGGTAATACCATACCATACACCATACTGCAATGGTTAAAAACAAAAAGTAAAAAAAAAATCCTATAGTGTCTTTATATTATATTACGATTGTTTATTGTTGTGATAGACCCCCAAAAACTTTTAGTAGACCCATATATGATTAACAATAAGAATTGTAATGGTCTTTGTGTGTATTTTTTTTAAATTAAATTCTAAATTAAGTAAGCAGTAATAATTATATTTGATTAATTTTTAATGAATTATAAACAAAATAGTCAGTTGTTTATATATACTGTAGTTTCTACTGTTATTGATACCCTGGTTACTGATATGTTGTTGAAATTTACCAGTGTTATCATGACAACTCTTATGTATTGGATTAATCATAGCTACCATGGTAAAACTGATGACTTATGAGAACTATTTATCAACTTTATATCATTAATAGCATTAAAATAATCTGAAGGGATAATAAGAAATACATTTTAGTAACTAGTATTGTTTTTTAATGTCATATAGTAAATATCTCTAGCAACATACAATAAGTCACATGAATGTATTTAATTCAATGTATGCTTTAAAGAAGAAAAAAATATCTTGCAATGCTTATTTTTGCACAGCAAATATATATTTTTTTCAAATCTCTCTAAAGTTGGCATTAAATGATAATTCATGTTTCTAAATGAATGCTATTCATCTTATTGTGAATGTTTCATACATCCATAAAGTAATGCATATAATAGAATAGAATAGTCTTTATTGTCATTATACACAGATATAACGAAAATCTTTTTGGCTTCTCCGCTTCAATTCAATAACTTGACAGAACAAAACCCATATCTGTAGATAGATGAATAACAAACACCGTAACACCGTAAAAAGGCCGTAGCACGTGTGTGAAGCTGTTATGTTGTGAATCAGGAGGCATCTGGAGCGGATCCGGGCCGCGGGGCCGCGGACCGTCGGGAGCCCAGAGAACGAGATCACCACAGTCAACTACCTGCTGGATCAGATCGAGCAGATCCGGTCTGAGAGTGAAACCGGACCTCACTCCATCACGGTGGACATCCAGCGGCCCAGCGGCTGCTTCAGCATCAGCTGCTACGACCGTGTGACCAACATCGCCGTCAAACTCCAGCCAAAGACCAGCGCACAGCACTTCATGCTCGCGAACTGCCACTTTGACTCTGTGGCCAACAGCCCCGGTGCGTTTCATCAACGCTTCAGTGAACCTGCTGTCGCTTACAGCTCAGGAGACACTGAGTTTATATGCTTTAATGAAGTTATGCTCTTCCTCAGAGCCTGTAACAATCTCAGCCACGTCTCATTTGAGTTCAATTCAACGTTGTTTTAAATATCAACATGATGCTACTCATTTCTTGCAGTGAGTATTATGAAGCTCATTAGTGAGTTAATAAATTGTTGCTCAGAAGTTGCTCTTTTATAACTTCTAAGACTTAAATGAGATGTAATTGAGAACTGAATTAAGTATTTATCTCTGTCTCAGATGTTTCTCCTTAAATAGGAAAATTAAAAAAAAGTATTAAATGAGTCTCTCTTCATCATTCAGTGATCAGAGTCTAGAGCGGTGAAGTGAATGTGGAGATCATTAGATGAGAAGTTATTGAGCTTATTGAGATATCTGACGTTTTACTGCAGACATGAGCAGGAAATGCTCCATATTTTTTCTCAGTTTTGTTTGTTTGAAGTGACAGCGATCAGATCGAGCAGTTCAAGGTTTCGTTGTGTTTGTTGTCAGTGTTCTTTGTTTGTGTCTGATGTTGGTTGTATATGGATGGGCGTGTTATGTTGCCTGCATTATTTATGGGTATATTGGATTATTACACTCCGCTGTCATCTGTTCTGTGAAATCCTGATCATTAGAAAACCAGGAAGTGAAACAGCAGAAACATCGATGTGTAAGTGAGTGTGTGCAAAAAGATGCACAGCACGAGTGTTTAATAGGCAGCATGTGATTTTGAGTGTTGTTGTTGTTCTGTCATGTTTAGATTGATGTCAAATCCCAGTCAGTTATGATTTGGGATTGGGTTTTAGCACTGCGTTTGATTGACAGGATTAAATTGTATTGTATAAATTGGTTTTATGTATTTGTAATAGGTTTTATTTTTTCTTTGAGTCATGTTTCTAGATCTGTGTGACTAATAACGTGTGTGTGTGTGTGTGTGTTTCAGGAGCCATTGATGAAGCCGTCGGCTGTTCAGTGATGCTGGAGGTTTTACATTCTCTAGTGAATCTCTCCACGCCTCTCAAACACGGCGTCATCTTCCTGTTCAACAGGGCCGAAGAGACCATCCTGCAGGTGAGAGGTCACAGCACAGCTGACCTTTGACCTCAGCAAGCATGTGGTCATCTCATTGAATGTGTTCAGCCGGTTTGATGTGAATCACTATCACTGACATTATTCATGGTCTCACTGTGTGTTTGCCACAATCACTCACACACACACACACACTCATGCGTGTAGAGATCGAGTTTGATCTCCATCTCTCTCAGGCCAGTCATGGCTTCATAA